ACCCACCGTACAGCCTCGGCCTATATCTAACACCCTGAAACCTCTTCCTTTCACTCTCTTGAGGCATGTAGTGAAAATCTTTTGCCGCTGAAGATGATATGGATCAGTAGGTGGGTATTTTAGCAAATTTCCGAGTTACAACCGGAACACCCTCACGTGAAAGTAAGCAAAAGCCCGCTTAAAAGATGGCGAAATGTGCGAAATGAAGCGCTACGAGAACATGGTCGTAATTACTTGGTTACTTAACGAGTCCTATCCTACTATATATAACGGGCTAAGCGTGTCTCATGTCGTGTCTGGTGTGTGTGTGTCTGATGGTTTCTCTGTGAGTACGCATGTATGTGTGTGTGCGCGCGAAACTGGGATTCGATGGGAAAACTGGGTACGATCGCTGTCATACAGGCTTCTGCTAATACAATATCTAAACATCTACCTAAGTGATAATCTTATAGGTTGATGCAGAATTACTGCGGATTTCTTCGAAGCTCCTTTTCTCTCGATGCAATCTGAACTCATATAAGCGACATTATGCTTTGTTATTCGAGAAAGGTTGGAAGATGGCGCAGTAGTAAAGTGATTCAAACGAACTTCTCGGCGATGGAACAGTCAGCCGAAGCCGAATAAAGCATGGAATCTGTTTCGACGGTTCACCCTATTCACCAACAGAAACTCCTGTAGATCATCACATCAATCACCCATTGAAAAATTGGCCAACGAACAGAACTTTCGGCTAAATGGATGACGTGATGGCCGATCTCAAGGCGTGGATCGATTCCAAGAATGAAAACTGCTTTGTTTGTGGAATTCGACTGCCTAGCTAATGGGAAGCAATCAATGCTTGACGTAAATGGTGGACATGTTCCAGATTAATTATTTGAACATGTCTTTGTTGAACATTTCTATCGTTTCCTTAAGTGAAATTTGCTGAAAAAAATCCGCAATAATTATGCATCAACCTAATGTAAAATCTATCTCTATCATTCATAAAACAGAAACTTGGTGTGTCGGTTAGTCCGTTCGCAAAACTTTATGACTACAATGAAAGCAGGGATATGGAAAAGCCAGCTCTTACATTTCCTTCTTATACATAAAGCAGTAAATTGGTGGATAGGTTAATGGAGTGGAGCGAGTGCTGCGGAGTGAGTGAGTAGTGTAGAGTGAAGTGGGTACTTCAATACTGTGGTTTCAATCTGTACTGGAATCGTGCTATGTATGTTTATAGGGATACTGGGAGTGAAAATGTAGTTGGGAAATCTTCGCTCTTTTTTAAGATAAGAAGGTTACCCCCTCGTAGTGCTTGAGAACGTTTCTTAGCCGATATTACACAATTTTATGTCATAAGTTTCTAGGAAAGGAGCACCGGTTCGGTGAGTCAATTGAATATTCAACTCATACATAACCTAGCATTTTGCACGAGGTAATCACTTCACCCTCACCTCAGCGTTCCTCCTCTCCTGAGGCTTAGGCTAAAACTATATTCTTTCGCCAAGTTTCTAAGCACATGTCAGGTCGGCTACCCCTCCTCTCCTGCACTCTAGTCCTCACTGTTTGATAAAAGATAATCCTACGATATATAAATCGCTAAGTGTGTCTATTGGTTTGCCGTTGTGTTTGTGTGTTTGTTTGTGTGTGTTTATGTGTTGGTGTGTGTGTCTGATTCATATTCAATTCAATTCAATTCATAACTCCTGTTTACGTGGACCTGGAGCGTTCATCTTGGTAGGAGTACGGGGGCAGGGCAGGAACACTTATGGTAAGTGGCAGGACCGGACTTCATTCATAAGGAGCGAGACGTGCACGATAAAAATTTCAGGTTGCAAATTCATAACTCTTGTCCCCGTGGACCTAGATCGTTCAATCTTGGTAAGAGTACGGGGGCAGGACGGGAACACTGATGATATGTGTTAGAGGTGATAACAATTGGAAGGAGCTGATAAAGCACCTTAGAAGGCGAGAGACGTAGGATCCGCTCCTTCGTATTAAGTGGAGCATTAGTGCCTTAGTAAGTGATATGGATAAGGGACCGTAGATGTTCAGTGATAAAGATTGGTAACAACTGTTAGAGATAATGAGCCATAGAAGAAGAGAGTCATTAGGTCTACAAGGTCTTTCATATTAACAGTGAAACACTTCAATAGGTGGTGTAGAATACGAAGTGACCGAAGGTTATTGGTGACAAGGATTGATAACAAATGAACAAGGGTTGACAAAGAGCCTAGAAGGCTAGAGCGAATAGGTTTGCTATCCCCTTCATGACAAGAGCCATACCTTGGTATTTGAACATTGTTCTTTGATATTTTTCATTCAATAAGACATGAAGATGCAGTGATAGGAACCTATCAAAGGCAATTTTCCATAACGAAATGAAAATTTGGTTCATTCTTCGCTATTGGACTACGAACGCTATCCAGCAACGTTTCTGTCCCAATGACACATCGAGGTTTTTTTTTTCGATATCTTTTGTGATTAAACTAATTCGGCCGCCAATGATCTGGGATTCCCAATTAGTGATAAATCCGTAGCGAAGAAAAGTTCGCTGATAACCAAATCTGATAATATGCGGCATGATGACTCGACAGCATTTGTGAGTACCATTCAAGATATCAATTGTCAGTCAATTAAGCCATCATCGGAACATGTCATTGAGCTGAATTTGGTGTCTTGATTCGTTTGGTGATAACTTTTTTCTTCAAAAATAAGCCTATGTGATATGCTACGACGACATATCTAATCGAGCTCTGCTTCAGTTTCATACTTGCACTCAGCTAAACAGCGGATATAGACTTCGAGAAAGGGAAAAAATTCCTCCAATTCGAAATTTCTCGGGATAGGGTGTTTGACACAAGAAGGAGGAAAGCCTGGCGTTAGCCGGGAGATCCGGCTGGTCACCAATATATGAAGTACGCTTCTACTTTGCATCGGAATCAGCTCAAAATTTCCGAAAATTATATAGCATTGATCAAAACAAAAAAATTACCGTGGGTAATAGCGACAAATAACGGTAGTGTTACTTGAACAACGGGCAGCAGCACAACCAACTTCACGAGTATTAGCCCATGCCATCTGAAATAACGAATAATACAATTCAGGCCAAATTCATCTTCTCGAGTTCGACCCAAATTCAGACAGTCAACGCTAAGGTAGGACAGAGTCAAGTGGCAAACTATCGTACGTATGGCGTAAGGGATTAATGTTGAAACACTACTCGTTTAGGACGACTCATCCTTCCATTGATCCGGAAGCGATTAGTTGAAATTGTCCGAGAGGATAGTGACGGAATAAAAGTGGTGATTTATGTTCACACCAGTACCCGTATGCCAGTATGTGAGCCAAAAACGCACTCAAGCCCCTTTACGGTCTCAATAGAAATGAAAAGACTGGGAGAATACTGCAACGATTGATCACACCAATGAACATTATCGATTGAAGTACAAGTAATCAAAGCATCTCTGCCAACATACCTACCACTAGGGCTAGTTCGGACACGCCATCCATAAGACGAAATGGTGAAGGTACGAAAGGATGGAATTCAAAAAAAGGCATTCAACTAATGTTGATGTGGACGATTCACAAAAGCCTTCACAATTTTTTTTCAGTTCTAGTTATGGAGCAAACCCATTTTGGAACGCGCCTCGCATTCGACTCCCACTAAGGATCGTGGTTTTGTGTGAATGCGTGTATGTCTATGTATACCATGAATTGAGATAAAGAACCTTTGTACAACTGAATACTTTGATGTCCTGGATGAATCTGTTAACAGCTAGGCGGTCTAAAAGGAATAGGATGGGCGCCCGGATAAGCATCAATCCGAGATTTAAGTCACGGATCACAGCGATGGTAGTGCGCCACTTGGCACTAGACTACCTCTGTCTACAAAATAAAAATTAGAGATCACATCTGGGTGCTGTTTCAAAATAAATGACACTAGGGCCCATCTAAACACTATCTCACCTGAATCCCCCTTTTATCCACAGGGGTATTAACGAGAACGGAAATCTTTCGTCGTTAGCATCGTAGCTATCATATGACAACGACGATTTCATTCTATGGAGCTCCACACCAAAGTGGTGGGACGTCGCATCGCATGATCTCTTACATTAGTCAATTCTTTTGAATTTAAACTTACTTGAGTGAACATAACTGGTGCATTAGGTATTGTTTCGAGGGATTTTTTAAATTCCAATTGGTCGTTGAAGCCAGCTGTGTAGATTTGATGCCAGGATGCTTTTAATGCCTGGAGGTGTAACAAAAGGTTTGCGAAAAAGGAAATGTAATGTACTAATAACGATCATACCGTTGATATAACGTCCATATCTGTCAAGGTTTCAGATGGAAGAGACTGATAAATTTCGCCCATGATGCCCTCATGTGATACTTCAGATGAAAGTCCTGTTGGGCAATTGTTCGCATATACCTGCGCCTCTGACTCAAGCCACCTGTTGTAGCTCTAGAAATGACAAAAACTCACAATACATAAGAATGGGAAGTTCCATACGGATATGCGGATCCAGCAGGCAGAGTAGCCACGATTGACAACAACGAGGTCGGACGACGTTCCGGTTACTTCAAGTGGGTTTGAAAGAGTTGCTTCTGACGAACTCCTCAACCTACTGGTGAGGGCGACAACGCCGAAACGTCAGCCGAATAAATCGCTGTTGCCAGCCTTTGTTGAAAGCGGGATTGCAGCTTGATTACCCCGAAAAATGCCAAGGCTCATGAAAGCATAAACTTCGACATTATAAAGCTTTAAACGATGTGAGGGCAATGAGGCTGTGCAGGGAAATAAGAAAGCGTTCGTGCCAATCGTTGAGATCATCGCCGTTCGTTATTCATGGGAAAAATTGCTCACCAATTGAGCTATATCCGTTCCTGCAGGTAATTTTTTGCCTGTATTACCATTCGGAACCAATCCTTGAGCAAGTCTTGATCTGGAAGAACATAAAGTTAGGGCTTGAGTTTGTTGGAGGGCATTCTGTATTATTGGATCTTTCTTTTCTTAGTCTACACTCAAATGGACAAGCAGTATTGTAGGCATTGACAGATATGGCGGTAGGATGGAAAGATCTTGGAATATTGTTGTTTAATTCACTTCAATCCATTATTCACATAGTTCATGTGATCCACCTACCAATAATTGCCTTTGCTTTGACAAGGCCAAAGTGAATTGGCTCTTGAAAATCCGAAATGAGTCGCATCAGGTGAAGGGTCAACTTTGGCTGGTACAATCTGGTTCACTCCTATGACTTGCCTGCTTGTTGATAAAGAGACGAAAGTGCTGGGGGACATTTTTTCTCTACCTCTCTCGCTGTGTTGCTCGTCAGGGAACAAGAATCACTACAACACCAATATGACGCTTCAGTAGAAAAAATCATTCGAATATCATACTTTCTTTTCTTTTTTCTTCAAAAGTGCGCTGCTACCAATCCGCTACTGCATTACTACACCCGACACTTGGTCCTGAAACCTGGCCCATGCCATTTAGAGTCTTCATCAATCCTACGGATGGATTTGGATACGCTCAAATCGCAATTATGAAATTAGATGTGTGTGGGAACGGGGAAAGGGGAGAAAGAAGCACTCGAACCGTCAGTTTGATACCCAATCTTCTTAACTCGTACATCGCTAGTGATTTCGACTTGCAAAAAATCTTAAGCTAAGCTTCACAAAAAGAAAAATTCAAAAAAAAATTATCGGGTAATGATTAGCGTCGTAAATGTTCTAGCTTGCTCACAACAACTATACCTGTAATAATTGTGCATCTTGATGATATGGTCGCGAATCGCCTCTGTCATTTTAAGAGGTGTACCCGCGAATGTCCCTTCGCCCGAATCACAAAGGCCTC